AACTAGGAAATAATGAAGGCAAACAATAGAAGAGGGATTGAAAATGCTCTCTGGCCATGGCAAATAAAAATATCTTAGAGCAATTTCGGAGATGTGGGAAATAAACAATTGAACAGGTTGAAAAACAGTAGGAGATAGAAAAGTGAAATGTCTTTTTTTTCTAGGACTTTAGGAATGAACTGAAAGGAAAAAAATAGAATGATAGAGAGCTCAACAAATGTAGTCCTTTTAAGATGGGGGAAAATTAAATATGCTTACATATTGAGTAGAACCAGTTATTGAAAGTTTTGAAAAGAGAGAATTAGAGAGCTGGATCAAGATCATGAGAGAAATGGGAATATCTGGAGCCCAAAACATAAGTAAAAAAAATCCATCTGATTATGAATTGAATGTTTCATCTTCTGATATTTCATCTAAGGCAAACACATTTGATAATTTGTTTGATTTAAAACAAGAAAAATTGAAAGAATTCATTCCTACACTCTCTATTATCTCTGTGAAATTATGCAGAAGGTCATGTGCTAGGAGTGGGAAATACAACAGAAAATGACTGGGTACTGAATTTGGGTGGTAAAACAGTAGAGTAGCTATGGAGAGAAGTAGGAGACTTAACAGAGCAAAATAATAACTGCTGAGGAACATTGGCAAACATCTAATGTTGGAGGTCACCTATTTTCATGAGGATCAAACTCCAAAATGGTATCTATGTTTTTAAATGCTTAGCAGCTCTAAAGATAAGAAAGTCTGTTGTGATTCAGTGTATACATGGCACAATTTGGAGAAGGGGGAATGCATCATCTTTAAGAGAATGATCAAAAAGAAGCCCATTAGAAACAAATGGAGGTGAAATCAGTAAAGGCCTTTGGGGCTTATAGAAGGGGTCGTGGAGGGGGACTGGGGAGCAAGATGTGATCAGAGGAAGCACCTTAGGAGTAAGTTATATGAGAGCTCAGAAAGCAAAGGGTGCTTGGTCAAAGTGTCAGTTCATGTAGTCGTAGATGTCAGAGACAGAACTTTTCTATGTCTTGTGTTCCAAGCCAATGGCCCTGAGAATTATTGTTGAAGTGAGGAAAACAATTCAGAATGAATCACACACATTTCGAGTGAGGAAATGATAATCCTCAGGATGTTTAGACTTCTCAAAATGATGGTTGCAGCTGTGGTAGAGAGGAAGATTATGATTGAATTGTTAGAGTCTGATAAATGCTCAGAATAACAATATTGGGACAGAATGAAGAACACGATTCACATAGTAGGTGGACTAATGGATGGATGAGGGTGTGTGTGTGTGTGTGTGTGTGTGTGTGTGTGTGTGTATGTGTGTGCATCTCAAAGAGGGTGGCCCAGAAGAGTTGAAAGGGCAGAGCCTGGAATCCATGCTTTGGAGCAAGGAGAACAAGGTTCTTTGAGCATTTTAGGAGAGCAGATTTATTTGAAGAGAGTTAACAAAGAATGTACTACCTTCTAGGAGGAATCAGACTTCATAGAAGGCTAAATCAACTGGAAAGAGTATTCTGCAGAGAGATTGGTAGAACAGAGAGGTGGATAGCACAGATCTTGGAACGAGGGCTTACAAGATCTTGTAATTGAGGGATACTTGCAATGTGAAGATATGTCCTGGAAAGAGTGTAAAACAGTAATGGCAGAGCATAAGAGAAAGTAGATTGAAGGAGCATCTCCTCCCAAATGCCTGATAGCCTTTGACCATTATATCCCACTGAGACCTGGTGTTATTCGAAGGATGAGAAGATATGGTCCATAGGTTTCCAGGTTCTGGAATGCTCTGATGTCTAACTATGGTTGATGGCTCATAATGGAAGGACCAGAATCAAAGCAGCTATTCATAATGGTTTAGGACTCCAACATCATCCCTTCTATATCTATAGTCATGAAAAATTAAGACTGATATTCAAAATGATACCCTAAAACTAGATAAAAATCCTCAGTGATCAAAGAAAAATTCAGAAATATTTCCTAACATCAAATATTCGTGGATCATATTTTGTGTACTCTGATGGATACTAGGAATTCAGTGGTAGACATCATTTCAACCCCAAAGAGATGTCTAGCAGAAGATATACAAAATACTTCCTTATATTTAGAAAATATTATTTTTAAAATTGGTTTTCAAAAGTAAATCTCAAAATAAGATATTTGATAATCATTGGATAGTCAGAAAATTCAGTTAGTTAAAAAGACCATTCTATTTAAGAAGCTCAACTATACATGATATTTCTCTTTTTTAATATCTTTATTTATTTTATTTATTTTTAAGTGGCTCTGAGGATCGAACCCAGTGCCTCACATGTGCGAGGCAAGTGTTCTACCGCTGAGTTATAATCCCAGCCCCTATACATGATATCTCTTCATGGTAAAATAAAAGTATGTGAGAGGATAAAAACTTGAATAAACTTTTTTTTAATATGCCAAGGAAGGGAATCACCTCTGTTACAATAGCTATTGCATTATAACAGAATCTGCCACAATATCATCATGAAAAACTGGTGAATGTTTTCTTGAACTCAGGGGAATCAGAGGTTGGAAGACAAAGCTCCCAGACAGTTTAGAAGATAATTTTAAAAATGAATGTGGCATAAAATTTTCCCCCCAGTAATCACTCTCTCATTCTCAGGACAGAGCACTTTGAAAATTTTCCACTGATGTGGTAGAATGCCTGCCATAAAGGTATTCAGAATGAAATGAGCTGTAGGGGTTCTTCCATGAAGGTTTTGCCTCTTTTTTGTACACATACACATATACACATGCACAAACACAAGCTCACTCACACATTCATGAACTAAAAATTTCTTCAATCATTCCTGATTAATATCACCTAAACCATATGTTATATAATTGGGAGACTTGTTTGGAAAAATAGTTGTCTGAAGGCCAACCTAATAGCTACAAATCAACATTGACACGAGTAGCTGTGAGTCCCAGGGAGGAGGGAGGATGGAATTTATAAAGTTGGTGTAAGTGTATTTAAGGTCACTAAAATGTTTATCACTAATTCTGAAGAGAATTACTTTCCACTGGAGTATATTTTCAAATTCAGTTTGCCTAAACTTTGCACCTATAACCAATGCATCAATTTAAAAATATTAACCCTAAAAGGAACTTCCAAAATAACTTGTGCATGCACACACTCTCTCTCTCTCTCTCGACATATTAAGAAAATGAAGACTAGAAAAGTTTAGCAACATAGAAAGATCAGGTTATGACATGAGTTAGAACTGACTTAGTGTATGAGAAAATTTCAATGTAAAAATAAGAATTACTTTGGTGTTAAAAAAAAACAAGGTTGTTTATAGTATCTTGAAAAGAAGAGGATAAATACAAGGAAAATTGGTGACTGGGCTTGAAATGTCTTCTTTATTTGTGCCACAAAATCTCCATTGAAATGCTCTGACATTCGAGTGTGTTGGTTCTGGTTGACCAAGTGTTTGACCCAAATCACCCTTTGCTTCAATCCTTTGTGCTGAAAAGATTTTCTTCCACACGCTAGGACGCTTTCCAGCATTCAAAAGAAAAATATGTTGTATCCAAACAAACCATTTCCTTATGTGTGAAGCTGGAAACTTTATTCTTTTTGTGCCCTGTGTGCACTTTTCATGATTTTTTCTCATTTTGTATTTGCCTTCTCATCCCAAACAATACTCAGATAATGCCCCAGGGTCCCCATCTAGATGGAACTTTGCTATGTGAGCCCACGCTCTATCAGAGCATCATGAATCTAGCTGCTGCACATTGCAATGAAGAGTATATCAGAAAAAAATTCCTGGGAGTGGGAATCCATGAGTACAATACTTGGCCCAAATGCTTGGTGTTTCTTGTGTAGTCAGGTCTTATACTCAGCATTTTGAACATGGTGTTGGATTAATCTCTCCTTCTTCAATTCAAGGCACGTGCAGTATTTGGATTGTATGGCTTTTTAGTTAAATGTGTGTGTGTGTGTGTGTGTGTGTGTGTGTGTGTTTAATTTTTGAGGTATCAGCTAGAGAGAACTCAATAAAATAAATTAATGCTAAGGTTCTTATAATAATTAAATTATTCAGTATTTAGCCACTCTGGGATAATTTTCAACTCAGAAGTTCATCTGTGAAATGCAAAATTTAATTTGAAGAAAGAAACCCACTATATAGAATTTTGGGCACTATGGGAGCCAGAAGGGTTGTTATTGAAAAAAGGAAGATTTTACAACCAGCTTTGACTTTGGCAATCTTTGGGGTGATCATTCCAAATGGTAGTTAATATTCACCAACAGTTTAATCCACTTATTTGCTCCCACCCTTATCATTGAAGGAATTAACAACATTTTTAAAAATATATGAAATATTGTTTAAAATATATGGTTGAGAAGTGAGGGGAAAGGGGGACATAATGAAGTCAAGAGTAAGACAGAAATGAAAGCAAAAATTCTGAGTGGTATGATTTCTTAAATTTACTCATTCATTTCTTCACAAAGAATAAGTACTCACCATTGTTCTGGCACCCATTTGTGTGGCTATTTGGTAGTATAGTCCTCCTACTGGCTGTTTACTTGAAATATCTATTCTGATTGATTTGTGGTTACAAGGTTTTGCCTTATGGTTAATTAAATATTCTGAATATTACTCCCTAGCATTGGGACTATAACAGAGAAAGAAAGCACAGATTCCCCTAATAGGGTTCTATTCTTTCACAGACAGACCTGTATACACGCAACTACAATAGAGTATGGCAAAATCAAAATCATGGATTAAAAAAAGAAAACTAAAATAAAAACAGCAAGAAAATAACTAAGCAAAACAGTATGAAGTAGAGAGTCATGCACAAACCATGTCATCAAGACGGTCTTTCATTTACAAGAAAGTTTGAACTTGACCCTTACTGTGTTTTAAACAGGAAAATGAATCCTATAGTATGTAAGAAAGGTAAATGGCTGAAGCTTAGAGCATCTCCTGCTGCCCCCACCTGGTCAATTTCCACTAGTCAAGCCCTTCTTCAGAAATCCTCTGTGTACCAAGGCCAGTTCAAAGCAGTAGTTAATGGAGTTGGAGTGCTTGGATTCAAATCCTGCTTAACAACCAGTAGCTGTCTGACTAAAGGTAAGAAACTGAAACTTCTCTGTGCCTCAGTTTCCACATCTGTAAAATGGGGATAAGAACCTAACTTGTGGGTGGTTGGAAGGAATAAAAGGGTAATACATGTAAGTGATACAAATAAAGTACTTAGAACCTTGCCTAGCACATATTAACACTCTCTGGATGCTTTACATACAACCTTTCTCACCCTTATGACAACCCTGTAAGGAACAGATTATTGTCACTGCATTACACAATTCATAATCTTTCAAGATACCTTTCACAGTGTCAGACAACAAAACCAAGTCTTAGATTTAATTTTTTTTTGCAATTTTTTTCTCTATTACTCTATGTTCTGATTGTGTTTGATAATCAACAATTTTAACTCTCCTTTTTATTTTTTTTGTTGTCAGCAGGAACTTGAAACTTTCAGTGACTAAACTGTGGTTTTTGTTAACTTTCTGGACTAAGTTTTAACATGTCATTTCCCAAGAGATGAGGCCTTCTTTTTTTTTTTTAGGTTGAAAAATTAAAAGATGTGAGCTTCTCCTACGTATTTCAAGCAAGGGACATAAGATGAGCTCTGTGCAGGATGCTGTAGAGTATTTCAGGCCACTAAAGTAGAAGGAAGTGCTGCTGAGACCCACCAGTATGTTGCCCTTCTCTGACCTGAAGTTTTATGCAACTTCTGCAGAAGGGAAGGAAAACCATGACCTGGTTGAGCTAAAACTTGCCAAACTCCAAATGACTTTGAAATAAATATTTCAGCAGAAAGAATTGGAGATTATTTGTCTGTGAAACTTGAAAAACATCTATGGGAAAGGGACTAGTGAAGTTTCCACATTTCCCTGTATTTTTCCTAGGTGGAAACAGAGCTGTGGACAGGTGTCAGATCCTTCCCCAAATGGGAGTCGGTGTGCACAAGTCACTGTGGTTGGACATGAAGAGGTTGCAGACACTTTATGGAGCATTTTAGGAAACAGAAAATGTAATTTCATGACCTTCATTTCCCCCATGACAAGCAGCACAGGCACAGTCACCAGTGCTTAGAGATTGCCTCCTTAGAGTATCCCGAACCAACCAGTGCCCCACATAAAATCATAGCACCTCAGAAATCCTTCCAAACTTCCTCCAGTGAAAAACCAGAGCGTCCATTCTGTTTTCTTTTCTGTGTTTTAGGTCCTCTGGCCTAAAACAGTTTTCACCTTTCTGATTAGTCTTTTTGATTTGAAGCTTCTCTTATCTCTGTATCTATTTTGCTTTTACTGGGGGGCCTTGTTTCTTGGACTCTATTTTCTTTCCTTCTTCCCTTTTCTTTTTTGAGGTGCACTGGGGGACAACTGGATTCAGAACCAAAAGTTAGCTACATTGCTCTTCCACTGTCCAGCCCAGGGTCATGGAGTTTGGGGTCCAATTCAGTGCACTTGACGCAGATTTAGGATACATGAGAAACCTCAGGCTCACTTTTGGGTGCCAGTCATTACTCTTTGACAACCTCTGAGGCCCCTGGAATCTAGTCATGGTTCCTGTTGTAGTGACTGCTCCCACTATCTCAGTTTCCGCTTCCTCTTTTCTCAAGTCCATCATAAGTCTTTCTCCTGTATTGATTGTTTGCCTAACTTGACCCCATGAATCAGGTACAGTCTGGTTCCTTGAAGAGGATCAGAGAGCAATAGTCCATGTTTTAGGAGATTCGGACCCATATTCTTTACATTTTTTAGCACACACTGGAGCTATAAAATAAAAAGGCAGTGTAGTGTGCGCAATCTAAATACTTAAGCTCTGGAGGCAGATGTTCTATTTCAAGATCTCACTCTTCCACTGAGACCTTGAACATATTACTTTTTAAAAGTCATTAGGGTTTTGTAAATTAAAATATTTACTGAAGTATAATATAAAGACATGTAATATTTGATGAAATTTCTGGGTGACTATTCCTAAACACCCAGATCAAGAAAGATACAGCACCACCCTAGCAGGTCCTCTCATGTCATTTTCTCCAGGCCCTACTCTGATAGGGAATCAAAGCTCAAAGCACCATGTTACCACAATGTCATTTTGATTCTTATTTATCTACTTGTTCTGGATTGGCCTACCATCTGCCTCTCCGAAAAACTTCATTTCTTTACAAGGATTGAAAGCTGCTTCTTCTCTTTCCCCCTCCTTCTCCTCTTTCTCCTTCTCCTCCTCCTCCTTTCCTGGCACTATTCCATGTTTCGAATCTGACTAGGAAAGGTAAAAAGAGGAAAAGAAGTGAATATGAACACCAGGGATCCCTCTCAGAGAAACACTGGAAACTGTCAAAATTAATTTGATTGGCAGAACAAAGATGATGAATGGAGTTGGGACAAAGGAGATTTTACTAGTATGAAGTGAGGGGAAAGGGTCAGATGATGTTTCCCAAACCAGAAACACTAAGTCCAAGTAGAAAAGTCATAAGAACCATAGTCATGAAGTGTTCTGATACAGGTCATGGGTAGAAAATCAGAGCATAGGAAACTTGGTGGGTCCCTCATATTGACTTATTATTTTAGCAATGGAGTTTATTCAGCATAGTACTCCTTTGGAGGGCTAGCTCCATACCTCCTTGAAGTTAATATCAATTTAGAGGTATAGATCAGTTTCGAATAGGCTGAATAGAGACACCATACCTGGTAGACTTTTTTTTTTTTTTCATAAATCCTTTCCTGGGTTAGGATGCTAGTTTGATTAAAATTTGAGAAGCAACACAAGCTAATAGAAGTGTACAAACTTGCAGCGAACAAGCATCTAATAAAATTTTTTTCCCTTAACTTTCTCTTCCATTAGTCTGAACTTCAGCATAGAAAAGTGAAGAGTGCTGGCATACCAAGAACCTAACATACTTGCATTTGAAACCTGCCTCTGTACTATCTCCTCCGTGATCTTGAGCAAATTTTGCAACTTCTGAGTCTTAATTTCCTCTTTTATAAAATGAGGTTCAGCGAGTTCAACATATTCACATTGTGAAGGATAATGAAATTATTCACCTTGAGTACCTTGCTCAGCACCTGGCAGAGGTGAAAATCAGCATAACAGGTCTTATTAATAATTAGTTAACAAATCAACTCAATATTTTAATGTGGTGGCATTGACACTAACGTTCCTTTATGTAGAACTAATCATCATCATCATCATCATTATCATCATCATCATCACAGCAAATATCTGACACAACATGTTAGACACTGTTCAGAACATTGCTATTTCAGCTTCACAATTGTTCTTTGAATTTGTGATTATTGTCATCTCAAATTCCAGATGAGAAAAGAGAGAACTCGCACAAGTCCTGTAGCAGTAAGGGGTGGAATGAGCTCTGAAATAAAAACGTTTGACTGCAGACCTCACAATCTTAACCACATCTCTGCACACCATGTTGCTCTTCCATTTGTTCTATTTACAGAACCAATTTTAGAGCTTGTCCAATACATCTGTAGCTGTTTATTTAATAAATCATATACATCTGGTTTTGCAACGTTCTTGGGTTCAAGGCTATGAGTCCAGCGGGTTTGCCAAACACATGTGTATTGGATATGTGAGGAGGGTACTTGGGGTTAAATGGTTCACATTTAATGTCATTTCTATTTTCCTAAAACTTCATGCTTTTGAATTTCCAAATAATAACTGACATTTTAAACTGCCTGCCTAATGCAGTCTTTCATGAGATAGCATAGTCATTGAGCAGGTTCAGTGTTCATAATTGTTTCAAATTCTTAATTCATTCTTAATTTCATTCTGATCAATTCAGAACCAATTAAAATTGTGGTTCATGATTGTTGCATCTCAATATTTAAAACAATGCTAATGGAGTTTTGGTATATGAGTGGGAAGCTGGAGAGAGAGAATGTCCTCCATATGTATTTGTTAGTACATATTCAAATGTTAGGCTCATTACAAATAAAATAATTCTTATCATGTTTGTTATACTAACAAAATTTACTAGATTATGCTTTCCACATGCTTATCATATGGTGTCTTTGCTCTCAATCTCCTTATGTTTGACATTAGCATTATTCAGTACAACTTTCCATATGAATTTTCATATCTCTGGATCATTCCATTGCATGTGGCACTGCCTACAAGTCCCTCTTTTATTTATTTTTTAAAATTTGTTATTTTTAGAAATACATGAAAATAGAGTGCACTTTGACATACTATACATACATGGAATATAACTTTCCATTCTTGTGGTTGTACATGATGTGGAGTTACATTGATTGTGCATTCATAGGAATATAAGAAAATTATGTCTCATTTATTCCACTCTCTTTCCTACTCCTATTCTCCCTTCCTTCCCTTCATTCCCCTTTCTCTAATCCAATGAACTTCTATTCTTCCCTCGTCCCCACCTTATTATGTGTTAGCATCCTCATATCAAAGAGAAAATTTGACTTTTGGTATTTGGGGACTGGCCAATTTCCTTAGCATGACAGTCTCCAGTTCCATCCATTTACTGGCAAATGCCATGATTTCATTCTTCTTTTTAGGCCTCTTAATACCGACCTCTGTTGTCTTCTATATGCTGCAACTTCTGATTGTTGGAGCACTGATGGGTTCCAGGCTCCCTGTGAGCTGTAGAAAATAAAGAGTAATAAACCTTGGATCTTTCCTTTGGAATTTGTACAATAAAATTGGGATGTATGTATAGTCAAGGAAAGTACAGAGAAATCAGAGAAGCAAGCACAAAGTGAAAACATGGATCAGAGAAGAGGAAGCCCAACTCTATGGAGGGAAAGTACAGTAAGGCTCCATAGAGGAGTTGGACTTTGAGCTGCTTACTAATGGATGCATAGAAAATTGCTATTTATACTAAGTAGATAAAAACATTCTAGGTAAATGAATGGGATAGCTTGAGCACATTCATAAAGGCATGTTTAGGGACAAAAAAAAAAAAAACAGTTTCTTATTTCTTATGTGGGTAAAACAAGCTCCAAAATCTCAGACTAGAGAGGTACTTAAAACTTATGAAACTTTTTGTCTATGGAAAAATCATCAAATTATTTGTC